GTGAAAATTTCATGTCATTAGCACCTCTAGTAATATATTTACTGAGAAAAATGGTGACGTGTTCAATACTTATTTTACCCGCTGTATCAAAGACAGAACTATTTAATTTTGTATGTGAATGTATGGAAATTGGCAGTGAGTTTTAGAAAACTGCACAGAACTCTTGCCTAGGGCGTAACATTTGCTATGGCTGGTCCTGGTCATAATGGTCTTGTATCTAAACCTTAATAATAAATAAATAATAAATCAACTAAAAATGGATATTGCTAACATTTTGGCAGTTTTGCTATAATAAAACRAATGCAGCCGTGTTTCTCTTATGTGTCACCGTATATTTCTGACAACAAAGGTTTAAATTTTCTGCCAACACAGGAGCAGCAAACATTATTTCTCAATTTGAACTGGAAACAAGAAAATGTTTAAGGAACAAAAAAGTTATTTTCTACTTAAACATTCCTACAAGATGGTTGAAGCAGGAGTCCAACATTTGTTTGGATCTGTCGGGTTGTTTACTATCTGAGAAGTTCTGCAGTCAGTTTGTGTTCCCAGCAGCTGCCTCTTGCTCCCAGTTTGGTGTAATATGCACTGTCAGACACCCATCACCCCAAAATTCACAGAACAAAGCTCAGACTAATGCCCTCTGATCTCCACCTTAGCTGAAATCTTGTTCACCTTTGTGTTTGTTAGAATTTCACCTGAGGTGTCAGACACGTGAGGGTGTCACCTCTATCATTTTGAACTTTGACCTGTGATTTAAAGTCAAAAAGGAGACTACTGATCGACTAGTGAGTGACTGACAGACAGGTAACACATCTAACATTGATATGTTTGGTGGTTTCTAATTTGGCACCTGCTTTAAAATGAAATCTTATTATTTAAATAATAAACATTCCTGCTTTAACTCTTCTACTCTACAGCAATTGAGAAAAAAATGTTCCAAGATGTGATACAATTTAAACAGCTGCTCATTAAAAGATAAGATTTCCCTTTTTTCTTTTTTTTAACAAAATGCAACAGGCAGAAAAAAAAATACAAATTAAAAATAACAACCATGATGTCGGACAAACCAACACAGAAAATCTCCAGTTAATAAGACTTAAAAAAAAATCTTCACAATGTTGATTTAAGATTAAATCTAAATTCTTTTTTGAGATGAAGAGGTAAAAGAAACAAAAACAGGCAATTTCCCTTTTGGCTGCACATCTGTAATAATTAGATTTTGTGCTTTTATAACTGTCTGCAGAACAAGCAGGAATGACCAAAGGTTTTGGCAGCAACACAAATGCTGTGTTTTGCTAACTTTGTAGTTTTAGGTTTTGTTGTGAGCAACGAGCTGGTGTTTTCAACAATCCAGTCAGTGTTTGGTGATGATCTGTGTATTTTTCAGCAAAATGGAAGATTGTGTAACAAGGAAAAAGTGATTAACAAGGTGCATCCAAAAATCATAACGCTGAAATTTTGAACTTGTGAAAACTTCCMAGATCTTAGTCCCACTAAGAACATGTGGTTAAAAAAACAGGTTGTATAAGAAGACATTAACAAACTGATCAACTCTGAGCATTAATAAAACCAAAATGAGTCACTAACAAAAGGGTTAGACGTTTAGTATGCCAGTGCAAACTGCAGAAAGTGTGGACACTAAATATTAACTTTTAGTATTAACTTGATTTGTTGAAGGGAACCGCAACAAGTTGTAACATTAGACAATAAGTGATAAACTTTTAATTCAACTGTAAAAYATAGATTGCAAAAATACTGTAGACTGTTTAGTTTTTATAATTCAAAAAATAAACATTTTGTCAAACGAACAGTGTGCTAACACAAAAGCTAACAAGCTAAGCTAACGGTTTCCTTCCATGAAGCAGCTCTGTTGTCGTCCGCCGACATTTTCAGTTAAAGGCTGAGTCATTTCTACTTCTCTCTGTCAACTCTCTCTGGTTTCATTTAAAAGTGTTCATTGTCATCATTTACCTGGTATGCTTTGCRGAGAAAACAATATGGCGCCATCCGTGTGATAATATACTTTTAAAAATTTATAAAAGCTGAACAGCCTACAGTATTTTTGCAGTCTTTGTTTTATAACTGAAATAAGTGTTTATTAAATATTGTAATGATACAACTAGTCAGAATTCCCTTTAATACAAGCTTTAGAAACCTATGTTTTTAATGTTCTTCAGTTAACTACATAAATGTTAAAACGATCTAAACTGTTGAAGCCACGAGCCTGAACGTTTATATTAGTGCCAAACCAGTTGGCCATAATTGTACGCAACCACAAAAACTAACACTGCACTGTATGTGACCGTCCACATAAGCAGTCTCAGGGCTGGACCTGAAAAAAAAAATACTGGTTATTTGAGAAACTCAAACCCAAGTCTTGATCAGTCCAACGTTACACGAGGCCTGGATACAGTCTGTAGTTAACAGACCTCAAATACATAGAAGCATCTCTGAATTACAACCTTCCCAAATTATCAAAAAAAGATTTTCTATTTTCCAGAGAGCCATCTGTTCACTTCAGGCCCATGCGTGCGGAACAGCAGCTGGCCCACCACTGCTCTGCTGTCTTCAGCTGCTGACCATGAGGGATGGATGAAGGAGTCCGAAAATACACGAAACAAAATGAGCTGAATGTKGAGATCTGAACCGAGCACCATTTCTCACACAGACTCACACTACTCTTTCATTAGCAAAGATATTTTCGCATGTATGCTTGGTAAGTTTACAGCTGCTTATGATGCATTTAGACAAGAATAATAACAGAAAAAAAAACTCAAATGCACTCACAATGGAGAATTTTTCAAAAAGCAGAACCAGGTTTTGTTCRTGCTTGTTCACACAAACATCACTATCATTACAAAGCAATGGTATTTTTTTTATTTTTTTCCCAAAAACACTTTTTGGTCTCTGTCTTTTTTAAATAAAATTGTTGCTACTGGTTGTGTCCCACAACAGCTTTAAAGGGTTATCCCCTAAATACCGTAAATGAGTTACAAGTTCAAAACCACCTCAAGACTGAAGCCGTAGACCCGTCAGGTTTATTAAAGTTAGACGCTGAGTTTGGTGGAAACGAAACATCCCAAAGAGATGCCYGTGTTTACTGTAGCACCTTTAATTTCATTTTAAAAATCTGGTTTCCATTATCGGACCACTTCAAAAATGTTCTTACGTTTCATCTGACTGGACTACTTTGAACATGAGCACACTTCCTACAATTCATTGTTTACAAGTGAAAAAAATGAACAACTAAATTTCTTTTAAGAACGGTTTTGTAGCGGGAACACTTTAACAAAATTAAAGTAAACCATYGCG